CACACCATCCCCCCTTATCAAAAATCTTATACTCTTGCTTATTAACATTAGCTTTCAAGTCAATAAAAATGGGATCTTAGTCTTTTTTCTCTTTTATATCTGACACTAATGATGACTCAGACCCATTTATCACCACTATTCCTCCTTGCAAGAGATCCATTAGTCTGACTCCAGGCGTGCAAGTCTGTGTACATATTTAAATAATTGCCTTTTTTCTTCCTTAATATGCATGGTGCTCCCCGTGGATAACCTACTTATGGCATCAACAACCATATTAGCCTTATCTGGATGGTAAACAATACTTAATCCTTGAGTGGTTCTATCCAACTACTTTGTATGAGATTAAGATCCTTCTGGGTTAACAAATATTGGAGGTTCTTGTGATCAGTGAATATGTCAACATGAGCACCATATAAGTAGTGATGCCATATTTTCAAAGCAAAAATGATTGCATCCAATTCTATTATATAAGTCAAATAATTCTTCTCATGAACCTTCAACTGTCTAGAGGCATAAGCTATAACCTTGTCATTCTACAATAGCAAATCGCCAAAAACTAACTCTTGATGCATCATAGTACACCAAAAATCCTTTAGTAACCTCTGGTAAGGTCAAAATTTGAGTGGTAGTCAATCTCTTTTTCAATTCCTGAAAGTTTTTCTCAAAAGATTCAGAGCATTAAAACGTGATTGTCTTCTGAGTTAGCTTGGTCAAGGGAGACCGCAAAACCTTGAGTAACCTCTAGTAAAGTAAAAATTGGAGCAATCGACAATCTATTTTTGATTTACTGAAAACTTTTCTCACAAGCTTCATACAATTAAGACTTGACTATCTTATGAGTTAACTTAGTCAAGGAAGATTAAATAGATGAAAACCCTTAAATAAATCTACTATAATAACCATCCAAACCCATGAAACTTCTTATATCTGTTGGAGATGTGGGTCTAGGCCAACTCTGAAGTGCTTCTACCTTTTGGGTATCAACTCTAATCCAATCACCGGTAACAATGTGGCCCAAGAATAATACATACTTAAGTCAAAACTCACACTTGGAGAACCTGGAAAATAGCTCCTTAGCTTGAAAAGTCTATAGAACAATCCTGAGTTAACTAGAATGATCTTCTTAATTCCTTGAATAAACGAGTATGTCATCAAAGAAGACGATGACAAACAAATTTTTAAAAAAAGTTTTGAAGACTCTGTTCAGAATATTCGTGAATGTTGTAGGCGCATTAGTCAAACCAAAGAACATAACTAAAAATTTATAAAACCCATATCTGGTTCTAAATATTGTTTTTGGAATATCACATTCCCTAACTTTTAACTCATGGTATCCTGACTAAGATCAATTTATGAGAAGCAAGAATCATGCAGAAGATGGATGAAAATATCATCAATCATTCGAACAGGATATTTATTCTTGATGGTCATCTTATTCAATTGGCGGTAGTATATATACAGACACTTGGACGACTAAAACTTTTATCTAATAATCATTCAACTACTTATTCAACTCCTTTAATTATGGTGGTGCCATTTTATATAGGGGAATAGTGATAGGACGAGTATTTGGAATGACATGAATGGCGAAGTCTATATCTCTCTTAGGAAGGACTCCAAGTAGATAATCAGGAAAACATGTGGGAACTTTTTTACTATAGGAACAGAGAGAAGGGAAGGTACCTTAATTCTTGAGTCATTAACTCGGACAAAGTGATAGATACAACCATTTGAAACAAACTTCCTCACCTAAAGGTATGAAATAAAATGATCCTCAGGCACTACTGAACTACTACTACACTCAATGACTGGCTCATTAGGAATTTGGAACTTGACAACTTGAGTTTTACATTCTATTAATGTGTAAGAGGTATGAAGCTATTTCATACCTAGAATGACATCAAAATATACCATATTTAAATACACAAGATTAGTCATGGGGTTCCTGTGAATGATAAAACTAGGACAATAAAGATAGACTCTTTTGGCTAGAATACACTCTTCTAACAAGGGAAGAAAAAACAAAAAAGTTCACAAAGTTTCTTATGAAGAATCTCAAACTAATTTGCAACATAAAGAGTCACAAAACATAAACTTTCTCTTGTGTCTAATAAAACATAAAAATCAAAACTAAATACTTTATCATACCTCTAACAACATATGTGGAGTCCTCTTGCTCTTGGCAGCTAGTGATTACATAGAGACAGTTTGCCCCTCCACCAGTAGCAGAAGTGGTTCCCCTAGCTGAAGCTCTGTATGGTGGACCAACTGAAGAAGATTCAGTTGTATAGCTCGGATTTCCACCACCTTGCTATTCATCTGGCACTCTCTCATTTAGTGACCCTCTTCATCACACTTGACGAACCTCCCTAGACATCAAGACAATTAATTGGGTGGTTTCTACCACAATTAGCACATGTAGAAGCCCCACATCCTCCTTGTGCAACACTGCCTGCAGAATGGGCTTATCAAGCATTTAAGTTCTGCACATTGTTGCTATGATACTCAAAACAATTTCACTGTGCAGGTGCACTAGATGATGATGGTGCATGCACCTTTTCTTTTTGAAATTGTGGTTGATTCAAACAACCTTTGTGCTACCCAGACTCATTCTCAATCTTGGCTTTCTTGTTCATGTACTCCTCTCTATCCCTCAGTTTTCTTCTTCAACTTGTTGCACAAAGAATGTTAATCTTGAAATGTGTATGTCCCCAATCAAAATTCAACACTAAATTCTTTTCTTGAAGCACGACACAAGTTGATCGTTCTACTCCTCATTTCCTTATCTATCTCAGGAGCATACTAGGACAGTTGGGAAAACTTCAACCCATATTTGTGAACACTCAAGGAGTCCTGTTTTAGAGTAAGGAACTCCTGTACCTTTGCTTCCTTCAGTTACCAAGGGAAAGAAACGCCCCGAGAAAAAATAGTAAACCAACTTAGTTCGTTAAAGAAATGTATTAGAAAATTTAACTTTACTCATATGTGGAAGTGACATAGTTTTGTTGGAATTTCTCTAACGGATAACCTCAACTATGAGCTTAAGTTGTACTACAACGTCTCACCCACGTGGTCAGAATTTTCCTATAATTTGTCATCGCAAAGAACATCCCCCACATAGAGGATCGATTGGATAAATTTATTTGATCTTCTTAAAATTAGGACTCGTTAAAACCCATGAAGGCTATATGGTTTACATGGAGATTTTAATTAATATTAACTCTCTTTCCCACATTGTTGCTTAACACAACTCAAAAGATATAGTTTAGCTCATGCTTTTAAAATAACCTCTTTCCTCTGGGTTGAGATAATTTTCTCTACCCTTTTTAGTTTTAAAAATTCCTCTTGGAATCAATGTTCCCTTTTCTTACTCAAAACTCTATTGGGAAATCTTAGTTTCCTCTTAACTTAAAGGTAAAAACATTTATAATTTTTATAGGGAATACTATGTTCCTTATATATTTTTAGAAATGAACTCAACTCTTTACTCTTTACTAGACTTGAAACTCTTGACAAAAATCAAGTCTTTAGGTAATACTTAGTTCCCTTATACTTCCTAGAAGAAAAGATTGAACTTTTACTCTTTCTTTAACTCGAAACTTGATCTTTAAAAGGAAGTTAAAACGTTTAAATAAGATTCTTAGAAACTTACTCCATAGATTTAGACTTTACTTTTTAACTTCCTTGAATTTGATCCTAACATTCCTTGAATTGAATAATGGATTCAAGGTTCTTGATTCATATTTATGGATAATTTCATCATGTTAATATGTACCTTATAGTTTTGGAATAGACTAGGAATTGTAGGTACATCACTCCGGAACTTTTCTCCTCCATTTTCATCTCCTAACCTTCTAAACATCCATTTGGATATCACCCCAATTACTTATGATCGCTAATAACCTCAATATCCAATAGACTAGGAAAAATAAGCGGGAACATGAATCCAATAAAAAGAGCATGCTACAACCAACCAACAAGAATTGAAAAATTCTTCATCTAGACCTTCAGTATTAATCATTCAATCTATTCAAAACTCTCCAAATTAAACATGTTCATGTGTGTTAAACGAACCAAACACAAAATGTTTTCATATACCTTATAGGGATCACCAGCGAAAAATTCCATTTGAAGATCTTGGCTTTGTTGATGAATTTTTCGTTTTTCTCCTTTCTGCTTCTTCTCTTCTCTTATCTCCCCAGCCCTAAGAATATTTAAATTTTCTAAAACTAAATTAAGGTTAAGCTTAACCCCTAATAAACCCTCTAAACAAATTAAAAAATAGTAGGGTGAAAAGACCATTTTACCCTTACTAAAATCCGGATTGGACTTTTTTCAATATAACAATGAAACTTCCTATAGTCATATCTCCCTTATACGATATCAAAGATACACAAGTTCAGAGGTGTTGGAAAGATTTATTCAAGGGTTTTCCCACTATATAAAGAACATCCTCTAACTCATCTTGATCTAGATGTTATGGTCATTTTAAAATGACCAAAAACATCCTTTTACACATAGGATATTTTCCAGATTTTCCGGTTCTTTTAAAAATAACTATTTTTAGTTCCTTTGTTTAATACTAGATATTTTGGGTTACGAGATGTTGCACATTTTCTAAGAATTTATCGTACGATAAGAAAAATGGTGTATAGTCATGTCTCTTAATGATAAGACAATTTAATACCTATAACTAATGTGTGAAATTTATTTTTCAATTAGCACTGAGAGGATATTTAAATAAAAGTCATCCAAGAGCTAGAACTTGGGTTTCTAGAAGCAATCTCATTATCACATACCTATTGTCACGACCCGAAAGTATCCCCTAGAAGTTAGGGAGAGCCCTTGTACCATGACCGGGCGTACTTGACCCTTTAGAGTCTTGTACAACTTCTTTAACTATTGTGCATTTCATAAGTCATGAAAAGTAGTGAGGAATTAAAACTTTTCAAGACATTTAATAAAAACTATTCTTTCATAAACATTTAGAGAATCTCATTGTCACAAGCCAACTTAAGACACGACATGATATCTTAGAGACACGGCCCTTCACATTGAAATGAAATACATATAAGTCATTAAAACAAAAATAAGAAAAACATTATGCCCTCGAATATATGAGGACATGCTTTGTCTTAGGAGGAACTTTCCCAAGCTTCACCTTGAAACCTTACAAAGCTTCCAACCTGTACTTATAGTATAGAAATTTATGGGGTTAATACAAATAATGTACTAGTATGGAATATGAAAAAACATGTGAAAAGGGACATTTTAGTAAAATAACATTTCATGCAAATTAAGTAAAACATTCAGGAACATAAAATCAAAACAGCATAACAATGATCATTTAACAGTTAGAGAAGAATTTCCATAATTTTAAACCCAAAAATACTATAGAGTAAGCTTTATAAACTTTACAAAAAACTCAAGTTGAAAATTACATTGAATTAAAAGAATCAAAAGAAATGAACTTCCAAAGTATTTTCAAGGAGGAATAAGCATCATTTCCATTGTGGTTTCCCTTATAAGGTCATCCTCGCACTCACTAAGGTAATACATGAAGAAAGTACACATATACCTCCCTAAATAAACACCAAAGCGACCCTCAAGACTTCTTCCCTTTCGGTATACTCACCTAGGGAAAACCAGCACTCACTCAATGGCAATACAATAGAAGAACACCCAAAAACACACAAAGAATTCCCTTTTGGAATGCCTACTTAGTGCAATGAGTTGATGGTGTCCCATACCACCACCTACCCTAAGTAGTACACTCTTTTAGAAGACTTGGCACCAAGACTCCCCTTTCCGAAAGTCCTACCTACTGCAATGGATAAATAGAGTCCCATACCACCACCTACCCTAAGTAGTACGTTCTTTTAGGAGACTTAGTTCATTCAATTCAAATAAGACTCACCAAGACTACCCTTTTGGATTGCCTACCTACTGCAATGGATAAATAGCATCTCATACCACTACCTACCCTAGGTAGAACACTCCTTTAGAAGACTTAGCACATTCACTTGTTTTGTGGGAGTTAGCTTAACCGACATAAACCATGAGAGCTAGGCATGGAGTCCTGATATGAACCCCTATTGGATGAAGGATCCTCACTTTCCTAGAACGAAGTCATTCGCTTAGCTTTTACATGGATTTCCCAATAGCTACATCTATGTGGGCGCATAGTTAAGGGATAAGGAGATTTCTACTATGTAACTCATTCTCTACTAACGAGGATTACTCATTCTAGAGGTACATTGGAATACAACATCTCAACAGATGAAGTGTAACCATCTCTTCTTCATATCTTCCCGGTTCTAGGCATATCTTCCCACGAATTCTAAACATTATAAACTATAGTTTAAGGATAACTATTGAACACCACATCTCAAATCACGAAAGGCATTCATCCTCCAACCTATATTAGAAAGCTCATGGGATATGTGGGGTTGCTACTAAACACTTTATCTCAAATTACGAAGAGTGTTTACCCCAAAAATCCCATTCATGACATGTCTCAACTTTATTCATTCATTCAATTGTGAGTGTGTGTGTACGTGTGAGAACACCTTGCACATAAGCTTCATTTCATTAACATTTAACTTCTATACATGCTTAGACCTTCATTCATCACATCACACACTTTACATGCTTCACATAATCACATATGTCCTTTATACATAATCCTTAACATAATTCTCATTACAAGCTTCATAAAACAATTAAGAAGAATAACATAATTCAAGAATACACTCTAATATACTTCATATAATCATTTTGATAAGACACATTTAACAAGAATGACATATTTATCTTCTTACTTCCCATAAAAAGAATTAACAGACTCATTCACAATAAACTAGTAACTTTACATTCATATAATTCAAGTAAACACCGCCACCAAGAAGGTGGACAATACCACTCAAGAGCATTTAAAAATTGAAGCTAAACAACATAACTAACTTACCCTTTATTCAATGTTTTTATCACCTATAATATTTTACTCAAAATTTATCATTATAAATCCCTTTGGGCAGTATCTAAACCACAATATCAACCATAAGAAAAAACTAAACTCAAAAACTACAAGTTCATGATGATATAATCCATTTCTTAAGCAACAATTGATTTAATACTTAAACATGATTTTATTGAAGTTTTAAACTTAAAATCATCAATTTACATTAGAAACTTCATTATTAAATCATTAGAAATGTTTTCATGCAAGACCCTTATTTAGAGTTGAAGATAGAAGAAACAAGGGTTGAAGACCCTTTGTGAAATCCATTAGAAGGGACTTCTTGAATGAAACAGAGTTCAAGGATGGATACCATACCTCACACTGAATAAATACCAATAATTTGGATGGAAAAACGACCACCAATAGCCCTCCTAGCACTTCTTTACTTCTAGCTTCCATGATGACTTGAGAGAGTCTTCTCAGAAAGAGAAGATTTGGGTTTTAGGGTGATGAGTTCTAAAATTAGGTATTAGGGTCTGAAAAAAATTAATATGTCTAATAAACCCTAAAATAATCGTCCTAGGTTCATAAAAGACACCACAAGCCAGTGCAGATTTTTCATAGCTTTTGGGACAGTCTCCACCAACGGACAAACCAACGGACCATTTGTCAAAGGACGGACTGTTGGTGGGGTCTTGTTTGTTGATACTTATATCCATTTGGATCCTATACAAATGAACCTTCATGTCAAATCGATTCCCATGGTCAATAGGCCGTTGGTTGATCAAGGGACCGTCCCTTGGGTCGTCATCTGGTCACTGTTTTGACAGCTTGTTGCCAAGAGTTGGGGTCCTCTTCTAGGGCCCCTCGTGGGTCTTATATGGAGTTGTACCCAAACGTTAAACCTCTAAACATATTATTATAGTTATTAGGAACATCCCACATTATTTTTAATTAAAACGAACACATAAAACTCACTCAAATACATCAAGACACACAAGCACTATCTAAGGGACACCTTCCGAACATCATGGACGTTTAGCATCCAAATATAACCAAACTTTACACACTTTCTAAGAAAAATAAAGTAACTCATTTTAACTTCAAATTCAATAATCTCTAGTTTACCTTAGTTCGTTTTACGGTGTTACACCTATGTACCCCATAGGATGATTGTCTCAAGATAGATGATGATTTTCTAACATAGATATTAGCTAGTGTATCCACGTAAGTTAGAAGCTCATGCTTATATATTGGAAAGTAGGAACCTCTCTTTTTTGGGGTGGGAGCATTACACTGGATTCCATTGTATAACTCACATAATATGTATGTCGTTTAAGTCTACTTCCCACAATAATAATGAACTAAGGTTACTTGAAGAAGTATTTCACATGTGTTCAAAGATGATTTTACATACATTGACCATGATTACGATTTATATTTTCCAGTCCTCTAATCTTATGTTTTGACTTGGTCTTTTCATATCACAAAAATTCCTTTAAACATGATTTCATAACTTTTTATGTATTGTTATCATACTTGGTACGTTTTTCAACTAACACATACTCTTGCACATTGTTTCACTAATGTAGGGTATAACATTCCTATTACGCATATTCGTGGCTAGGAATGCATAGTGTATATATAAGATTTATGAGCCCTCATATTCTGAGGAGATAACCTCAATTGATTATCGTATTTATATAGTTTAGAGATCGTATACGGGTTATGTTTCGATAACTTTTGATGTACTAGATGACTTTTGAGACGATATAGACTTCAGCATCATTTTTTAGGAACTCTTTTATGATATAAACTACCTTTTAAAGTGATTACCTTATATATCTTGTTTATGTATACTAAGTGGCTTGTGTAGGGCCTCTTAGGGTCTTTTATTCCATCTCAAGTGTAGGATCTACTTTGGGTTGTGACGCTCCCACTATTGAGCCGAGCGATATAGAGTGTCTTGTTGAGTTCTTATAAAAAGGATTTATTTCTCTTCTTCCACCAATTTGGGACAAGAAAATTAGTTCCAAACTAAAATCTTGTTAAATATCATGTAGGATATGTTTATTTTTATGGGACCAATAATTGTGTCGATTATTTAATTGGATGCCAGATGACCAATCTAGTTTTCTTCATAGATTTTTAAAATGGTGATTTGACCTGTTAGTGAAGAGTGGCACGGATGTTCACTTTTTGTGTTTATATACCACAATATATAAATACACAATATTTTTAATATTCATGAACCTTCCACTCGAGTACTAGTTCATTGTGCATCTATGATTACGATTTATGATATCGTTATGCTAAAGTTGGAAAGGATTTTGTCAAAATTTAAATTGAAGTATGGAGTAACACCTTATTCGTTTACCATTTTTTATGAGGGTATAAAGAAAGTTTTATTGATTAAACAACTCAATCTATTTTGCTGATGAAGCAACTGATTTTATGCCACAATATACTACCCAATGCCAATGTAAGTAGAGTCTGCTGGTATCTATTTTTAACAATGAATTAGGATTACACCAAAATAGTAATGACTTTTAACATATACGCGTGAGAATATTTCTTAAAACCATAAAGTGCTTTATGAAAGTTTATATACCATTGGTTGTCCTTCTGAATCAATTGCTCAACGCAAGGAGGTTGGAATGGTTTCAAAGTCTTATTTTTGTTATATGAAATAAAATTACTGAAAAATGGATATTGGTAAAAATATTACAAAATAACATGTTTAACCGATCAATGGAAAATAAAAAGATGATGGTCCAATTCAATAAAAGTCTGACATCTCGAGCGGTGACTTGGGAATGTGAGAGCGCTGCTCTGTTAAGCCAGCCAATGAGGGGAGAGTCATAAGTTACCCCCTCTACTCCCATTACTATGTCGGGTAGACATACACATTATACTGATCAAGTACTAGACAAAGAACCAAGAACCGCTTATTGTTATAAACCCAAACAAACACACTATTTGTGTCAAGCGTTGAAGATTTTATTTGTCCCATTCATCTTATTGATCACACTTGAGTTACAATCTCACAATACTAAGCTCAACGATATGTAGTGTTTGTTGAGTTCTTATTAATTCTTTGTATTCGTCTACGGCCACATGTGTGGGTCAAGAAAGTAAATCCTAAATTGAATGATATAACATATTTGATGATATGCCTAGCAAGTAAAAATAGCATATGCTAAGACATTCAATGTTTAATTGAGA